GGGATGCCCGATCCGTGGCCCAGGAGCCAGGCATACGGTGGCGCAGTGGGGAGTCGGGGTCCCCGCACGGCTGTGGGACTCGGGTGGATTTCCGAGGACGTCTGCGGCGACGGGGGCCTCCAGGGTCCCAAGGGCCGTGCGGTGACGACCGTGCGGTGAAGTCTTTGGGGATGCCGAGGTCGCCGCGCGGTCTGTACCGCACCGCGGTGAGATCCCGAAAATGTGTCCCGCCTCTTCTCCCCCTCCGCACCGTTCCCCTGCTCTCGAGGTGCTCTCTTGGGGCGATTCCTTACCCTGGTGCCCGCGGCAAGCCCCGCCATGGTGCCAGCGTCGAATGTGGGCATGCAGGATGGCTCCACCGAGCGTTGGTGCCGTTGTCAGCATTGGTACCATGCTGTAGCATGGCGCAGCCGTAGAGTTGTATGGTTGGCGCGTTGCGTTGGGGGGGGGGGGTTCTCGGAAGGTTCTTGGCGGCCTTTTGGGGCCCTCTTGAGGCCGAATCTGTTCGGCAGACCCATCGTGGGGCCGTCTAAGCGCGCTCTTGGGCCGTCTGCGGGCCCTCGAGGCCGTCTGCGGGGGCCTCGTGCAGCTACTCAAGAGGCTTGCGCTATGCTGCCGACCCCCTGCGAATGAGGGAGAGGGAGGAAGGGGATGAAGTGGGCGACGACGACGACGACGACGACGACGACGACGACGACGACGACGACGACGACGACGGTGAGAATAGCAAGGAGGGGAACAGAAGAAGGAAGACGAGGACGAGAAGGTTTTTGACGGCCTGGGGGCCTTGCCGATGTCCTGCTCTGCAGCCTTCTTTGCGTCAACTGAGTCCGTTGGGGGTCTTCGCTGAGGCGTCCTTCATTCCAAGTTGGTCGGGGCGAGTTCACCCTGCAGGGGTCGGCGGATGTGCGCAAGTGTACATGGTCATGGCGTCTTCCTGAAGGTGATTTCGGGGTGTCTTATGGGGCCGCTTGGCAGCCTTGTGGGTCTCATGTGGGCATCGCGGGGGCCTCAGGGGGGGGGCATCTTGGGTCGGAGGGCTCGACATGTCAGTTCGTGTTCGCCTCGTGGGGCTCTCCCGGGGCCTTCTCGGGGCAGTCTTGGGCCGTCTTAGGGGTCTCTTGACTTGTCTTGGGGCGATATTTGGGGCCTCTTGGGCGTCTTTGAGCATCGGAAGCCCGAAAGGGCAAGCTTCTGGGGGCCTCTTGGAGCGCTGTTGTGGCCTCTTGGTGGCGGCCTCTTAGGGTCGTCTGCGGACCCTCAGGGCCGTCTTGGCGGGCCTCCTGTAGCTAGTTGGGGGCTTCCTGGGCCGTCTTGGATTCCTCTGGGGTCGTCCCAGGGCTCTCTGTTTCTTGGGGCGATGTTTGGGATCTCCTGGATCTTCGTGGGCGCCCGCAAATGGCTAGCACTTTGACCTCATTGCCACATTCCCACTCCCTTCGTGTTCGCACCGATTCGGGCACAAGCGGGGTGGCCCACCACTCTACCCGTCCACATGGAGATCAAAGCTACAAGGTGTCACCTCCCTGTTCAGACTGGATGTCATGTTTCCGATCGTGCGAAATATGTGGCAGGAGCGGGCCCTGGCGCACGTCTCGCGCGAAATGGAACGACATGCCGCCCGGGCCTGGCCGCCACTGGCTGGACTCGCCTCCAATGGCCCGGGCAGGGCGCCCCCGCGCAATTCGGGTATAGCCAGGACCCCGGGAAAAGGGACTGGGTTAGTGGTAGGGCCCTGGGGCCCCTCAATTGGCCAAATTCACTAAACCAGGTTTGCCGTAACTGGTGTTTTTCGGGTGACGGCAGTTCCGGTTAGCGGAACGGGGCGGGGGGAGCGCCCCCCGGTACACATCACTAAACCAGGTTCCGTTAAACCCAGTTCTGCCAACGCCCGAGAAATGCCTGGGGAGCAGCGGCATCGGCACTGCTTCTGGTAGAAGGCCTCGGCTGGCGCACAGACGGCCACCTAAAGGGGAACCCTGGCCGGCCTCCACAGGTCCCCCCCCAGTGGTCCCAGTTGTCCTCCGCCTCCGCCGCCGCCGCCTCCTCCTCCTCCGCCTCCTCGGCCTCCTCCTCCGCCTCCGCCGCCGCCGCCTCCTCCTCCGCCTCCTCTTCCTCCTCCTCCTCCTCCGCCTCCTCCTCCTCCTCCTCCTCCTCCTCCTCCTCCTCCTCCGCCTCCTCCGCCTCCGCCTCCGCCTCCGCCTCCTCCTCCGCCTCCTCCTCCTCCTCCTCCTCCTCCTCCTCCTCCTCCTCCTCCTCCGCCTCCTCCTCCTCCTCCTCCTCCTCAGGCGCCCCGAGTAGCCTGGAGCGGTCTCGACAACTCAGCCCTGGGGCGCGCCGGCGGCGGCGCCAGGGTGTTGAGACCGCCCCGGACCACTCGGGGGGCCTGCTGAGGCCAGTTGCGACTACGCGGGGGGCGTCTGTGTGCCTCACCGATCGTTTTTGCTCTCCCCCCGCGCCCTGTGCGTGGATGTCCCGTGTCCTCGCCTCCTGAGGCCCCTGCAGCGGGAGGCGGAGCCGCGCGGCGCGGCCGTTTGCCCCCCACCCCCGCGCCTTGTGCGTGGATGTCTCGTGTCCTCGCCTCCTGAGGCCCCTGCAGCGGGAGGCGCAGCCGCGCGGCGCGGCCGGGGCCGCACGGTGTTGAGAAGGGGCAGGCGCGGTGGGTGCGTGGACGGTCGCCTCGGCACGCGCACCGCGCGTGCCGCGGGGCCGTGGACGCAGAACATATTTGCATCCGCGGCCTCGCGGGTCGGGCCCCTTGGCCGCCGCTGAGGGAGCGATTCGCTCCTAATTTCTTGCCGCTTCGCGTGTCCCCTCCAGCCTCTCTTGCATGTTGCACCTGCCACCCTGGCCTTCAGCAGACTGCTCAGCCAGCTTCCCCTCAGCTGCAGCCCCGCCAGCAGCTGCTCCTGAGTGCTGGCCCGGCCGCTTCGCTCGAGGCTCGCGCGTAGCCAATTAGGCAGGACCGTGCCCCGGACCTCCCCTTCGGCGACTGCGTGACCGCGTCCGCCCGCGACCAAAAAAAGTATCCCCTCCAGCCCTGGTGCGCGCCCTCCTGTGAGCGGCAGCGAGGCTCGCCTCCTGTTTGCTTTTCTCCCCGTTTGTTCTTGTCTCTTTTCGCCCCTGTGCGCGAGTTTAGGCCGTTGCCCGTGTGCATCGTTCCTGGACGCCGCCCGACCTCTTCCGCCGCGGTCGCGATCAAAAGAGTATCCCCTCCAGCCCATTTCGAAGCAGATCGCCAGGCGAGTTACCTTGGATCAGGGAAGTTCAGAAGCGCGAAGTGCAACAACCGCCTCGGGAGCGTTTTCCCGGAGGCTCCTCGGAGCCATCTTGGGGCTCCTTTGGGGTCCTCGCGAAGCAGATTGGGGCATTCTTGAGGCCCTCTTGCGGCTCTCCTGGGGCCTTCTTGGGGCCCTCTTGGAGCTCGTTGGGGGGGGGGGGGGTCTGGGAGGCCTCTCGGGGCCGTCTTGGCCTCCATGATTTTAAAAGAAGAAAATAGAAATCCCCCCCCCCGCGGAGGCTCGAAAAATTCGTTTTGGGCCCGTCTTGGGGCGTTTTGGGAGGGTATTGGGTGCTATTGGAGCCCTCTTGCGGCCCCCATTGGGCCTCCCTTGGGGCTTTCTTGGGCCGTCTTGGGGCTCTATTAGGGCTGTCTTGGCCCCCTTCTGGGGCTCGTTCGGGGGGGCGGTCTGGGAGGTTTCTTCGGGCTCTACTGGCTTCATGAATCTAAAAGAAAGGAGGGGGGGGGGGAATTCAACGCCCCCCTTCGGAAGCTCATAAATTGCGTCATGGAGCCGTCTTGGGGCGCTCTTGGACGCTCTTGGGGCCCTGTTGGGCCCCTCATGGGCCGTTTTGGGGCCATCGTAAGTCCCCAAGAGCCAGCCCATCGGAGGCGAAACGGCGAGAAAGCAGCAACAACATGGATGTTCCTTCGGTTTGGGAGCCATTTTGGCCTCTTGGGGTGTCCTTGGAGAGAGTTTCGGAGGGCACTTGGAACCGTTTTGGGGCCGTCTTGAGGCCTTCTGGATGTTTGCGGGAAGGTATTTTGAGCCATCTTGAGGTATCTTGAGCCATCATGGCTCTTGGAGCTATCTTCGGCGGCCCTGGGGGCTCTAGCGCCTCGCGCCCCTCCCCTTTCCCAGGCCCAGGGGAAGGGGCAGGGGGGAGGGGTCAAGCTACCCACCCCCGCAAGCCGTCTAGCTCACCATCAACGCCCGAGCCTGAACATGTTCAGCGGTCGTCTTTGGATGGACAGCTACTGGGAACCAAAGCCGGCCCCAGGTGGGCGACGCTTGGGGGAGATGCGCCACGCGTGCCAGGGGCACCACGCGCGCCAGGCACTCCTGGGGCCCGAGCGTGCCAGGCACGCCTGGTGCGCCAGATGCGCCACGTGCCTCCGCTTGTGCCAGGTGTGCCGCATACTCTAGCCGCGCCAGGTGCGCCGCGTTCGGGGTACGTGCAGAGTGCGTCAGGCGCGTCTGCGCACGTGACAGCACACATCGGGAAACATGCCGGCACCCGCCATCCTTGTCGAAAACCAATGCCCATCATTGTGTCTGGTGGGCCCGCGCACAGAAGGCCACGCGCCACCACCCCCGCCGTCCCTGTCAAAAACCATGACACTGATCGCGGGATGGCCGCGCGTGATCCAGATTTAGCCGCGAGGTGCATGTTGTATTTGTTTTTGCCTGAGGGATGGTAGTCCTGCGCACAGCAGGGAATATGCTGACCCCTCCTTTTCAAAAACAATACAAAGCGCTCGCAGGCCTCACGAACATGACTCGAAACTTTGCCCCAAAATGTATTTTGTTTTTGACAGTGATGGTGGGGGGCCGCATCGTGTTGGCCGCGCACGCTCCACATGTGGAGGCAGAGTGCGGTGTGTATTGTTTTTGTGTCAGGGATGGTCGGGGGCGGGCGGGCATGGTGTCGGCATCGGGTCGGGTTGGCCCGCGGCCGCTTGGGGGAGGGGGTGTACACTAATCAGCAACAGCGACCGTAGCCATTTTGGCTCAAGCCACTTCTGACCCCAGAGCTCGGGCTCCTCGTGGCCGCGCCTACGCCCGCTCGCGCAAAAAGCGCCGTCCCGCCGCGCCCGCCCCTCTCGCCGCCCGCGGCCTTCCAGGCCCAGCCCGAGCCTTCCGCGATGGCAGACCGCGACCTCGCCGGCTACGACGCGGAGCTCGCGCGCAGGGCGCGGGTGATCCCTGGACTCGACGCGCGCCTAGTGCGCATCGATGCCCGGGCTGGCACAGACAGCTTCCATGTCCTGCAGGGCCTCAAGGACCCCGAGGCCGAGCGGGAGGTGTCCAAGTGCTGCTACCTCTACCAGCGCTTCGGGAGCACCGGGACCAGAGGTGCAATCGAGGTGGAAGGTCCGATGGAGCAGCCGAAGGTGGCGAGGTTGTTCGCCGAGATCTTCAAGACCAAGACCGGCTCCGAGTTTGGATCGGTTCAGCCTGGCGACAGGGCGAACCCGGGCATGCATTGGCTGCAGCAGCAGGCGACACCGGACCTCAAGGCGCAGTGGCAGTACTACGTCAGCGACGGGGTGGACGGCAAGAGGACAGGCTGGTACCCGTACGAGGGCTCGGCGTCCGACGAGGTGGAGGAGCTCTACTCCCAGCACGTGGCCAACGCGCGCGAGAGCCGCACCGCGACGCGCGTGGTGTCGTCGGGCTACTTCACGTACCACGTGGACTTGGACAACATGAAGCAGACGAACCAGCGGACGAAGAAGGTGAGGTCCATCCGGCGCGCGCACGGCGAGGAACCCAGAGAAGGCGGCGCCACCAGCGCAGGCAGGGAGGTGATGAAGGCGATGAAGGCAAAGGCAAGGGCCATGACGCCGATGGCGGCGATGAAGAGGTCGGCTAAAGCGGAGGTGAAGGCCAAGAGGAGGCTCAGCAAGGTTGGCACGAAGGCCCAGGTGCTCGCGGGCAAAAGGGAGAAGACTAAGTGGGGTCTGCGGAAGGAGCACCTCGTGAAGAGCAAGAAGGGCAAAACCGTGACCAAAAGGAAGAGCGCCGCTGGCAAGAAGACGTTCGATCAGAACCTTGCAAAATGGATCCTTTCGTTCAGGAGGGCGCGAGCGGAGCTGGGCCTGACTGGATTCGTGCTTGTGAAGAAGGGCGCGGCCTTGTACAGTAAGACCAGGGAGTACTACAACATTGCCGTTGGATCTTAGGAACTCTTCTACCAGGCAAAAAGCTTGCTTGGCCGCTCCATTCTGGGCTGTTTCTGGGCCAGCTCTGTTTTTCAACGGGCGTGTGCAACATGCGTTCATACTTTTAGACTCGGCAGTGCCCAGGCCCACAAGCTGCCTAGGCTTCCCGTGCCCCACCGCCTCTTGGCAGATCGATCTCTTCAGAATTGGAGATCTTGAGGATTGAAGCAGAAGTGCAAGCAATGCCAATTGTACAGCGGCTGATGCGGCAGACCACTACCCTTGAGGAGTGCTCGCGTTGAAAAAAACAGCGATCAAGCTTCCCACCCGCCCGCAAGCCGTCTTGCTCACTCCCACCCGCCCTCCCAACACATACGTAACACCCAGGCGTCAGCACATCGCGCAAGAACGCCGCAGACGCCACGGGTTCCCGATGCACCAGACCTTGGAGGCCCAAGCGTGCCAAGCGCGCTGGGTGCGGCACGTGCTCCACGTGTGCTCAGCGTTCCACGTGCTCCAGCCGCGCCAGGTGCGCCAGTCACGGGGAACCAATAACTAGAGGCTCTCGGGCCCGGCTTTGAGCTTTCTTGGCTAAGTTTGGAGCCATGTGGAGGTTTTGAGATCGCATCGGAAACTGTAAGGCGAAAAGGCAGCAGCCACTGATGTGTCAAACCAGTCGGTCGACCACCTGCGCCCAGAGAGCAGGCGGGATCTGCTGGCACCCCAGCCGCCCTTACAAAATACAAATACAGAATGGTCGCGGGGCGGCCGCGCATGCTCCAAACGTGGAGGAAGAGTGCGTTTTTCCCTACCTAGGCTCTGCCTAGAAGGGTTCTTACTCTCTTAGCTTAAAGGGGCCGGGCAATGGAAAGCGCCCCGGGCGGTTCCCCCGGTCCCCGCCCCGCGGTTCCCCCAGTCCCCTGGGAGTTTTAGTTTTAGCTTTAGCTTTAGCTTCAGCTTCGCTTTAGCTTAGCTTTAGCTTAACGTTAGCTTAGCTTTAGCTTAGCTTTAGCTTAGCTTTAGCTTAGCTTTAGCTTAGCTGTAGCTTAGCTGTAGCTTAGCTTTAGCTAGCTTTAGCTTAGCTGTAGTTTAGCGTTGGCTTAGCTTTAGCTTAGTTTCAGCTTAGCGTTAGCTTAGCGTTAGCTTAGCTTTAGCTTAGCTTTAGTTTAGCGTTGGCTTAGCTTTAGCTTAGTTTCAGCTTAGCGTTAGCTTAGCGTTAGCTTAGCTTAGCTTTAGCTTAGCTTTAGCTTAGCTTTAGCTTAGCTTTAGCTTAGCTTCAGCTTATGGTTAGCTGTAGCTTTAGCTTTAGCTTAGCGTTAGCTTAGCTTTTAGCT